CTTGCTTTATTTTGGTTTCACCGGATGTTTTAGTTAATTTTTGTAACTTCTGACTCTTAATATTATGTTGTTAATATCAACTGAGTCCTTGTTCTGAATATTCAATATTCAGGTAATGAAATTATGATGTTGGTTAGTTAAGTGGGAAAGCGATTCAAAAGGAATCGATAAATTTTTATTTACTGCTATATATCTTGATTCCAATTTCGAATCCCAATTGTAAGCCAGGATATCAATCCAAGTCCCACATTCAAAGTTTAGACATGAATGGTCTAGTATATAAGTAATGTCCAACTCTAATTAGTATGAGTCCAAGAACAAATTCGTGCAGGTTTTGCCTCTAGGTCCAAAGCGGACAATATCATACTAATGGGGGAGTTGGACATGGACTTGAAAAGCCTCAATACTATATCGCTATGACGCTATCTACTTGTACCGAGTCTTGTTGGTTGGTGTTTGGCAACGAATGCATATTCTGATATCTTTACACAATTCAGTGTTTTCCTTTCCAGTCACCATTTTTATCTTTCAATTCTACATTTTCTGCGAACTTTAACCTTTCCTCTTAGCATCAATGACTTTCAACTACAACATTAATAATGTTAGCATCAATTGTAGAAATGAAAAATACAATTGGTCTCTATCCAATGGTGTACTCTAGTTTTTATAAAGATTATTGTCGCAGATTTTGTTGACTCCCCAATCTCAAGACGTATTCTTCTCTAAGAATATGAACTTGTCATTCGACGTCTCTAGCGGCCACCCTCAGCGTTCCTCCAGATGTCCCATAATCTAGTTAAAGGTAACAAAATAACATGGTTGGTACGAGTAACTAGAGATGTTTTTTTCCACATCCACCGAGGTGGGGTTGGATTTACCAAGCATGGATGGAGGTCTCTTAAACTATGACTTTCAGACTTCTGTTGATTGGTAAATTTTTGGGTCTTTGCCGCCATCCTCATTGTCGGGTCCTTTCGAGATCAACGCTTTTTTTTCGGTCAAAACTTACAACCTTCAAATTTCTTCACTCTATCTAGTTGTAGCCCTCTTTTTAATTGGTTACTAAAGTGTAAATGAAAAACCTTTGTAGATTTTCTTGTTATGAATAAAGATAGTTTTGTGTTGTGTTAGTCTTTAGATCTCATGCCTTTTGCATATATCTAATATTTTTCCGAACATTCGTCCTCTTTTATCCTTGACTCATTAATTGATTTTTTTTATTTTTACATATATCAGCTAATAAGAATATCAAAGTCAGGTTCGATTGACCCTCCATACGTCTTTTGACTTAGGTTTTTCCCTCGTTGTTGGTTTTGGCTTCTTCCACGAAGTGTGTTACTGCATATTGTAAGTTGGTTTTTAGGGATTTGAGGACCCGATCTTAAAAATTCTAAAGAAAAATGACTTAAATACAGACCGTGCTTAAGTTTTGTACGCTCTATTCATTTTAGCACCAAACTTAACTGCTATAGTCAAATTTTTGGGATCTTTTAGAGGATTTAATTTGTTCGCCCGACTCAATGATATTACATGCTCCATTCAGTGTATACATTTTACATGCACTCTCACATTTTACAGAAAAAAGTATATATTTGCTGTTTCATTTGGCCTTATGATATGAAACAGTTTTGCTTAAAATTTTGGCCTCATGCATTTGCACTCTTGGTACATGTACAAAATGGGCATAACAACCATTCTAAATTTGGAATTTGGTGTAGAACTTTCTATCCGTTTTATTGATTTTTGATGTTTGCACTGATACTATTTAAAATATTATATTAAATGTCTACTTTTTTCTAAATTATATATTTAATAATTAGTTATACAATATATGCTCTAGAATATTAAACCAGATTCTATACTCT